ATTTCACAGTTATTTTTTGATTGTTATATACAAAAAAAAAAAGAATCTAATAAATAAATTAACTTCTGAATAATGTCTTTTGTTTAGTGTGGTGTGTTGTTTGGTTTCCTGCAGAGTTTGTACCTCACTAGAACTCATTACTGAGAAGGGTCGAAAGCTAGCCAGGGTATAATTGACAACCTAAATTACAGCATAAACATATACACAAGATCATTATTATATTAATTACACAAACAAATTCCATACATACACATACATATTTTACCCATAACAATATATTTGTCTGGAAAATCCAGTCTATAATTTAGTGAATATCAAAATCATCCAATACATCAAAGTCAGAATCTGAATCCATTTCAAAGTTCTCAATGATGTCTTAACACCACTCACTCATTCACAGTCTACAGGAAAAAGGAAGAAATACCTATTTAAACAAATTATAACTAGCAGCTAAGTACTGTCAATAGGGTCAATTTATGTTTTCTCAATAATCCAAGTTTAAGCGGTCAAATTTGAGGGTTTAAATTAATCCTAGATTAATACATAAATTTGAAACGGTGCAAACAAAATGTTATATTTTAATCCAAGTTCAGATTTAATCCTGGAATAAACACTACGGTGCAAACGGGCAAGTCTATTTAACACATTTTTGAAATATGAGACTTAGACACTATGTTATTCTGTAAGAGTTATCAAATAACTTTGGCAACCAGTTGTATTAATGAAAGTTAATTTGTAGAGAGGAATTAAAAGTAAAAGAACTTACATTTTATTCCCTGAGAGAAGGAATAACACGGGCTTTTACAATTAGATATTAAAAAAATTGTAAAACCCTTTTTGTTCCACAATTTCCGCGCGAAACCCCATTCACATGTAACTTGTTACCTTTTGCTTTGCTAAAAGTGAAATTTATTGTGGAAGTAATTAACAAATATCAACAAAACAGTAACATGTTTCAAATGGATGAACAATAAAATGGCCCAATAAGACGGTTATTAAGAACACCACACCAAATATTCACCGAAAAGCGATGTTGAAAATACGTTTCCCTGATTTCCAAAGGGGTCTCAAGTGCCCATGAATATGATTTCTGTATTCGTAATTCCATCTCTATTAAACGTGGCTTCATCCGGAAACATAATTTGTCCACAAAGCTGTGGGTGTGTCTGTTGGTTGTAAATGTTGAACAGATTGTATGTGTTATGGGTACATACCAAAATTGTGTAATGTTCTCCACACTTTCATTAGACTAACATGAACATGATTAGATATTCTTCGTATAGAGGGGCTATTTTCGATCATGTTAAGAATAGCTTCTTCGGCAAGTTCTTGCTGCACGGGATGTTCTGCAGTAGCTTCAGGAAACATACCTGTTTCTGTCAACTGACGATGTACATTGATAAACATTTGCTTATTAGGTATTCTTCGATCAGGAAGCATCCGATGATATTCCCGCACAGACGCTCTCGCATTTTCGTCACAGAATCCGTAAATAAAGTGGCGATTTGAAAACGTAGCCATGTCAAATTAATCTTAAAATTACAACGTAAAAGAACAAACAATGTCACCATAACAATATGAGAAAACAATTACATGGCCTACCAGATTTATTTACTGTTAAATTTAATATTGCCCGTAACTCCTTAACTATTGACTTTTGGGCAAAGCATATAAGGCACTTAAACTTAAAATTGTCCAAGGAACAACCTTATCAGACCATCGAGTCACGGGACACTGTGTTTGGAAAAGTTTGTACAAAATTTAAGGGAGTTAAAGTAGAGCCAAAAATAGTATAAAAAGTTCCTATAAACATTGGTCCTCCGGAGCACCGTTACTGAGATGTGGCTTTAAAAAAGTCCAATTCATTAAAAAATAATATTATTTGCTTGATAATTCAAAGGAATAAAAAAAAATTCGAAAAATTTCTGTTAAGAGTAATTACAAAACTATCCTTATTTATAACAAAATTTTGATGAAACTTATGGTAGTTAAAGACCCTTGTGGTATAATAATTATTACCTACAATTTTCATTCCGTTATCTTAATCAGAAAGAAAGTTATTTTAAAAAATATCCAAATGATAAGACGCCTTTGGAGGGCCATATCTCGGTAACGGTGCTCCGGAGGACCAATGTTTATAGGAATTTTTTTTACTATTTTTGGCTCTACTTTCACCCCCTTAAATTTTGTACCAACTTTTCCAAACACCGTGTACATAATACAGGGTGATTCACAACTCACTGAACATAGACAGGTGTGTGCAGGGGACATCAAAACAAGTTGATTTTTCATATGAATGTTCTTTCTCAGATCTACCTACGGTTGCGGAGATATTAGCCTCAGAAAATGTCTTAAAAAAATCGAAAAAGCTCGGTATTTCAGCATTGCCTTAACACAGAACAAACAAATTTTGTAAATATATTTATTTTATTGACGTTCTTAGCTGGTAGAAACTTGAAGTGGCCGGTGGTTTAGCGGTGGGTCACCCTTAAAATTTTATGAACTTTTTCAACCCTAACTTAATTTACAATTATGGTATAATAGCAAATTCAATTTTACATTTTTTTATTCTTGTCAATTTTTCAAGAAACCGTCCGTATTTGAGAAAATTACGATTTTGTGATAGGAGTCAAAACCGATTCAATCGAACAAAAATATGTTGTTTTATAATTGCTACTACTGCTTTAAGGCCCACTTTTATAACCTAGGTTTAAACCCGAACTGAAGTTTAACTTTTAGATTTAAAAGATAAACAATGGAATGTCTCAAATCTGTAAGTTAAACTTCAGTTCGAGTTTAAACCTAGGTTACAAAAGTGGGTTTTAGTATCTAGAACTTAATTTAGACATGCATGCAGTAAATAAAATTGGTACCAAGGTACTCTAGACCAGGAATTTTTTGGAACAACTTTTAATAGTAGGCCGTGATTAAATCTGTCGGTATTCGGAATTGGAAGATTTTTTGCAAACAAGAAATAAAACGTTGTCGTTTTATTATAAAGTATTCATTCATTTCGTTCAACGCAAAATTTAACAAACTACTATTTCTATGAAACTAACTAAGTAATAGTAAAAAAATTAACAGATGCTGTTCAAAACGGCTCCCATTTTCTCGTAAACAGACATGAATCCTTTGCCGAAAGTAGAGGTCTATTTTATTCAATCATAAAATGTTATTTTGTTTAATGGTGCATTTATTATTGATGCGGTTCCATGAATCTTCCTCAGTCGAATATGCAAATTTTTTTAGTCTCCCAAAGAAAAAAGTCACATTTATTTAAATAGGGCGATCGTGGTGGGCAGTGTTAAGGGCAGTTGTTTCCACGACCTATCCATCGATTTGGAAACTGTTGGTTTAAAAATTCCTGAACATCCATACTAAAACTGCACCATCGTGCATAAATCGCATTTCACGGGTAATTGTAAAGTATTTTGTAAAAAATCCAAATAAGTGCCGCCGTTTAAGCGGTTTGGTAAAATAACTGGACCAACCAAATATCGCCCAATAATACCTGCCCACACATTTATTCGAAACTCTCTTTGGTAATGATGGGTTACTGTAGCATGTCCATTTTAATCCGAATATTCACGACTGTTATGCATATTTATTTATAATCCCTCTCAGTGTAAAGCCAGCTGCATTCGTGAAAAGAATAATCCCGTGGAAACCAATGTTCTGATATAGAATGAAATTACAGAAAATCATTCTTGGCTCGAGGTCTCGCGGTAAATTTTTTATATGATTTTTGAAAATGATACAGATGCAGCAGATAATTCGATGGACCGTGGACATTGTTATGTTAAATTACCGGGATATTCTTCTGGTACTGATTTGGGGATCATTTTCAATACTGCCTAAAACGTGCTCCTCATTTCGTGCATTCACTATGTATTCCTCCAACATTTCTTCGGCGGCAAAGAGAACCCGTTTCCCGAGCTCCTTGTTCAACATGTTTGACGATTTGAAATAATACGATTAGGATATCTTTTTCGGTATTCCTCTACACTTATGTAGCAATTACCTTCGCAAAACCCTAATACTAACAGCATATCAACTTGCTCATTAGATGAAAATTTTCTTCCTATTTTTACCAATAAACGACAAACAAAAACAAGATGTACAAGGAATTGTTAAATTTAATTTGTTAAACGAATAAATACATTTATGCAACGTCAGATTTAACAACAATGACGTCGTAGCAACAGAGCAATTGAAGAGCACCAGTAGCACAGCCTACCCGCAATTATAAAACCACATATTATTTTTGCTCGATTTAATCGGTTTTGACCCTTATCACAAAATCGTAATTTTCTCAAAAACGGACGGTTTCTCGAAAAAATGACAATAAAAAAAGTGTAAAATTAAATTTGCTGTGAAACTGGTAGACCTTAACTGTAAATTAAGTTAGGGTTGAAAAAATTCATAAAATTGTAAGTGACCTACCCCTGAACCACCCCTTCTTGAGATGCCGGTCACTTCAAGTTTCTACCAGCTAAGGACGTCAATAAAATAAATATATTTACAAAATTTGGTTGTTCTGTATTAAATCGAAATTCAAGAGTGGAAAATTTTTCGATTATTATTCAAAAAAATTATTCAAAAAACTAAATAAGAGAAAATCCATTTTTTTGTCTCAAAACTGAGGTCATTACTCATAAAAGAAAAACAATCGGAAAAATGTTTCACTCTTGATTTTAGATTTGTTTTCTCCCCTTAATCAAATTCCAGAAAGACCGGCGTCAATTTTAAGACACCATATTTTTAATTTGTTTGCCGATGCAAAATGCGGATTAACCGCTTTTAATGAAAACCAAAAAACAAAAAATTTAAATTCAATAAAAATTTATTCAATGATTAAATTACATAAAACACAACGGTATTTGATTAAACATATGTAACAATACTTAAAATCATATCACATTAACAATAAAGAAATGATAAAAAAACAGTGAGATAGATGATAGTTTGATGCTTATGAGCATGAGCAGTCTTCAGTTTTCCTAATATTTGTAGCCGCCTGAACTTCCACCGATGCCACCGATAGATCCCAAACCTCCCTTGGAACCAAGAGAGATTCCACTTCCAATTCCTCCTCCGTAACCACCACTATAACCTCCTCCAATTCCTCCTCCATATCCTCCACCGTAACCTCCTCCAAGTCCACCTCCATGACCTCCTCCGAATCCTCCATCAAGTCCTCCTCCTCCAATAGATATGGAACCACCTTTCAGACCACCTGAAAAATACATTAATTGTTACCAGAATTTTAATTTGTTTTTGTTACTATTTTTTATTAATCTATGTTATTACCTCCAAGAGAACTTCCTAGTCCGATTCCATGGCCGCCTCCTATGGATCCTCCTCCAATACTTCCAATAGAACCGCCATATCCGCCTCCATAGCCACCACCAATTCCTCCAATGCCAATTTCGTGTCCACCGCCTAGTCCTCCTCCAATGCCACCACCGCCAATTCCGCCTCCGTATCCTCCACCGATTCCGCCCCCATATCCTCCTCCATATCCTCCACCGATTCCTCCTCCGTAACCGCCTCCAAGACCACCTCCAAGACCACCTCCGAAACCGCCTCCGATGCCTCCACCACCTCCTCCAACTACGACTGGTTGAGCTACTGGTACTACAACAGTTTGTGGAACTCTAACTGGAATAGGTTGAGGGACAGATACTGGGTAAGGCTGTGGGACAGATACTTTGTAGGGTTGTGGTACTGGTACTCTGACAGGTGTTGGTACTGGAACTGGTACTGGCCGCCTAACTACGACGGGATATGGTCTTGGTACTTCGACGTGTTGTGGTACTGGCACTGACACCTAAAAGATATCAATGTGTTTTTTTTTGTAAATATTTCTGAAAGATTCCATTCTTTTATATTTTGATTTACATGCAACTTTATAATGCATTGTAAAAAAGACCGATGAATTATTAAAGTGCGAGGAAATAAATACATAAGTAAATAAAAGATAATGAACTTATATGAATTATATGGAATCGCGTGGAAGTATTTCAAGGGTTTCTGTTTATAAACATGAATATTTCAAGTGTCCTTCAAGTAGTCTTAAAATCCAACGCATATAATTGTTAAGTTTTCTTAAATAACAGTTTTGAAACATTTTAGAAACATTTTGCTGATTCTACATGGGCTTTAGAGTACATACATAAATTTCTTCCCAGGTATCCATTCATTTTATATGTATTTTACGCTATGCTTTTTTCAATATATTTCAAGATAATAAATATAAATATATCGATATCTACATCAGAATATGATTCATAAATCTCTAATATATCTTTAAGTGCTATAAAATTGTATATAAAATATCATTAGATATCATTTAATAACAAATACTTAACTGCTGCAACAATTTTAATCTCAATAAAAAGATAATCAAATTGTTATAATTATCTAGTAAAAGTGAAACCTTTGGAGAGCAGATGTGCCTGAATCGAGATTTGAAAGTTACATTTTCTTAACTACCATGTTTATATCGCTGACCTTCCAAAATAAAAAAGCAATATGGACTGATCCGAATTTATTAGATGGAGAAAGTAGGATGTAAATGTGTATGCAGAATCACATATTATAATAAAACTATATGGTAAAACGTTCTCCATAAATTACACATTCATCAAAATGTGTTTGTTGCACCTAAATTTCTAGGAAAGTATGTAAATGAATTTTAAAATACCTATTTGATATATTTTCGTTTCTCTTATACGAGTATTCATGGTAATTAAAATGGAATGGTAATTACTAGTTATCAATTAACATTTTCATTCAGTTTTCCATTTAATATTCCATCAGAAATGAAGTAATTTTCAGTGCACTGTTTTTATAATAAAAATGTTTTGCTGAAATATGAATCACTTCATTTTTATTTTATTTCGGCATATCATAAGCGTATCATAAAATTATTATTTCTTACAATTAAAATTAGTTTTTACTGAATTAAAATGCTATAGATCAGTAATTCAATTTAGCTTTCAAAGTAATGTGTTAGTTATATTTTTATAATTTTTCAATTTTAGCTATTCACATAATGGATGATTTTTTATATGACATCCGGCTAGGTAATTAAAATGTCGATACAAATTTAGTATAACTAATACAAAATAAATATGTTTGTATGTCTTAAACATTGCTGCCAATTTACCAATTCGTAGCAGATTATCAAAAGTCTCTTTAACAGGAAAGTTTCATTATCTATAGCCCAAAAATAACACACTAGTCCTGCAAAATGTATACCAGGTACACTATTATTTTCCAAAAATACGTAAAAAAATTTAGAAACGCCTAACTTTAAAGAAACAGTTAGCAGAGAGATTAACTGAATACCTTAAATGGCAAAAGTAAAGTCGGCAATATTTCGCAATATAGCACTAGAGCCTATTGGTCCCTTTTATTTGACTGATTGATTACTATAATCATTTTTTTAATGCCTATTTTAAATTTCCAGAAAAAGAAACTGTATGTTTACTAGCACTACCGAAGAAATAAAAAAGAAAAAAAAATGTGGCAAATATTTACCAATTTAAATATCTTAGCATTAATGTAGGTTGAATTAAACTTACCTTAACAGGTCTTGGCACTGGTACTTCTATGGGTTGAGGAATAGGAACTGGTACAGGTCTAGATACGCTGACTGGATAGGGTTGTGGTACTGGTACAGGAACAGTTTGACTGACAGTAGAAACGGTAGCGCCGCCACCGCCATATCCAGCACCTCCTCCAAATCCAGCGCCTCCTCCAAATCCAGCACCTCCCCCAAATCCTGAACCACCTCCAAAACCACCTCCGAGACCACCGCCGCCGATGCCTATACCATCGCCGAACCCTCCTCCTAGTCCATGACCACCTCCTATGGATCCACCTCCAATACCTCCGCCATATCCTCCTCCATATCCACCGCCAATTCCTCCTCCTCCAAGACTAATTCCGTGACCACCTATGGATCCTCCACCAATGCTACTTTCAATTCCACCTCCATAGCCGCCACCGTAGCCGCCTTCGTATCCACCTCCAAATCCACCTCCAATTGAGGAGCCTTCACTAATGGAGATGCCTCCACCGCCTCCATATCCACCTCCGCTATATCCGCCTCCTCCAATGACACCTCCGCTATATCCGCCTCCTCCAATAGCACCCCCGCCATATCCGCCTCCTCCAATAGCACCCCCGCTATATCCACCTCCTCCAATGGCACCTCCACCGATGATGCCACGCTTTCCAGTTTTCTTTTCATTTGCCTCGCCGCATTTTGCAACACAGGCGACTGCTAGTACTAAGAATATTATCTGAAAGTTTAGAATAAAGCGATTACGTCCCTCAAAATTATAATGCGAGTATTAGCAGTTTGAGTATTAAATTAGAACACAGGTGATAGTAAACAAGTTTGCCAATTTATTAGTTTATTATTTGTTGCTTGATACAACTATTTCTGTAACTTTTAAACAACAAATTAATAATAGTAATTAATATTTAGATAAGTATTTCAAGTCAGTGTTAATTAAAAATAAAGTAACTGCGAGAATAACGATGTGGTTACAGTATTTATATTTATAATTCAACGTAATAATGGCAGTCAGTACTATTTCAGGTAATTAAGTACAATATTTTCTTTCACAATTATAAAAAAAAATAGACTTGTTTAGAAACCCGTAAAAAGTAACACTTTTCCATAGTCTAATTTCTAGCATGTAAATTTAAAATATTCCGTGGATTATTAAAATTGATTTCGATAGGCTAACAATAGTGGATAGTGAGTTGGTTTATTAATTTTATCGTATAATTTACATATTTTTGAAATCATATTCCAGTGAGCGTCAGCTGTGTGTGCTATTTGGGCATACTTTCGTTTTCAATTGATTATTCAGTAGAACTAGTATTGAGCGCCCAAACACAATTAATAATGTGAGATAAAATTAATCAAAACTAATAAAATATGCGCGAAGCAAAATACTAAGAAATATTCGTAAAATGTTCTTAAGGGAATAAGATCTTCTAAAATATGAGTATAGAAGTGAATAAGAAAATGAAAATAGTTATTGTGACGATGCAATGTTACAATTTTCAAATTTGTCATATAACTAGGTGCCATTACAAATAAATAAAACATTACGTGATAAAGTAGAAATTAAATAAAAAAATGGGATCGTAATAGAAATAATCATTAAAAAAATATGGTTTCGATAAGGAAAACAATATTATTTACTTACCCCAAAAACTCTCATGTTTTTGTTTAGGAGACAAAACTGTTAATGCTGAAATAGATTTAGGGAGGCGGGTTTATATACTAGACTAGGATGGTACCTCACCAAAAATTTGAACTTCCACTCACCCAAAACCGATACTTTCACGGTGAATCTGTAAGATGATCTGCCTCTCATATTTTTAATACATAATCCTTTTAGACTTGTCCTTTATTGAAATTTTAATAATAATAATAATTAACATTATTAGTATTCTGAACTAGATAAATTTGCACAGAGTACATACGTGGATGACAGTAAAACGTTTAAAATGATGGTCTTCTAGCATTAAACTTGTTTTTAAAGATTTAAGCTAATAATATGGTAAATAGAAACAAATTTAATGCACAAATATTTTATGAATACAAAATTAATATCTCCTCAAAAGAACTAATGCCCTTGTCGGTACCTAATGCATGTCTTATTAATTAATTAAAACGAAATATTTTAAAATTATGTTTTAAATTTTTCAGATATTTATTTCTAGTTCCTGCTTAACAGAGAAAAAAATGATATTAGATATAACAATGTATTGCTTAAAATTAGAATATTAATTTTTTTAAACATCTTCACACTTTAAACAAACTTCAGTATTTCGCTTACACTCTATAACTCTATGGGCCTATTTCACCATGTCAACTAAGAATTTGTCAGAAATAATTTATTTGTGGCAAAATTCTGTTTCGTTTTGAATATATTTTTTTTAAATCTGCTTGACTATACAGGATGTCCCACCGGGAACTGCGTTGATCGATATCTAGGAAAGTACTCCTCCAAAAAATTTGAAAATTTGGCAACATGGCAATGTTGGCGAACACAACTAAAATATCTAGAACTTTCCAGCATTTCTGGGTATACCGTCGACACCAACTTCGTTATTTTAAATGGGACACTATACATATTATTGCATTTTCGGATTCTACGTGAAATTTGAGGGTCCCTTTATTAAATATTCCCTATACTAGGAGTTATAGAATTTGAGATATTAATATTTAAAGAAAAAAATTGACAGATGCAAGGGTCCGCGGAAATGCTAATAACTCTTTTCAGGAGCGTGATATCAAGTGGATTTTTGGTACCTATAAAGGGCATAGGTAACACTAAATTATGGTACAGCAACAAATTAAAACATTTAATTCTAGGTGATTTATTTTTGCTATTACATTTTAATAAATTCAAACTGCTATAACTTTATTAATTTAAATGGAATACCCTATATTTTTTTACTCTGTCGTATGGATATTAATAATTTATTTCAAACTATATAAGCATTGTTAGGGTTGCCTTACTACTTTTAGAGATATTTGCAATTCTCTATTTTTTGGACAGTTTTTTTTTGTATCAGATCTGTTGTTAAATTGGCCATGACTAGAAACACTCCAAAAACAATTGAAATAATTTAACATTTGTCAAGTTAGTTGTCAAATTAATGTTGTGTCTGAATAGTTTTTGCCGAAAATTTAAATAAAAATGACTGGGGATCGTTTAAATTATACTAATGAGGATTATTTAATTTGTTTGTTATTTATGGAAAATGTCACAAAATACATAATTTCAAAAACATGTAGAGAATCTGCTGCTTTTTTCCATAAATAATACACAAATTAAAATAAACCTCAGAAGTATAATTTAAACGATCCACAGGCATTTTTATTTAAATTTTCAGCAAAAACTCAGACACAACAATAATTTGACAACTAACTTGACAAAGGTCAAATTCTTTCAATTGTTTTTGGAGTGTTTCTGGTCATGGCCAATTTGACAACAGGTCTGATATGAGAAAGTGTCCAAAAAATAGAAAATTGCAAATATTTCTAAAACCCTAACAATGCTTATAAAGGCTGTTACAGATTCGCTTCTCACTACAGGGATCTCGGAAACGGTAAGAGGTACGAAGTAGCTTAAATGGGGGCAAAGTTGCGTAATCAGGTTACCAACATTATTCCTCTAAAAAATCAAGGCTAACATGATTAGTTTTCGAAATATTTGAAAAAAAACCGAAATTTTGGAAATCCGTTTTTCTTTAATTTCAGCCTTGTTTGAGGGAATATTGAAAAAAAATAACACTTTCTCATGGCCACTTTTTTCCCTCTATCGAATGGCATAATCAATTTCTATATATAACGTTTCGTCTCTCCAGGACCATCATCAACTTACATTTATTGCAAGCCTTCATGATCCCCAAACTGTACTCCCTCAGCCCGAACCAGATTCAGATGTTTTGTCTCGCAAAATTCATATTCAGTGTATTCGTTCCAAATTTATCTAAATTTTTTATTTAGATTTCTTTGTTTCTTGAATTATCATACACTGTAACTGTCGTTAGACCCTGTGAAATCCCTAGTTATTTCAACTATTACCACCACGCGTTACAATAAAACATTTATTATTATTAACTATTACCATCACTTGGTCATACATAATTCAATAAATTGTTGCGTCAAAATTAAAACATTGCAATTTTAATTTTATTATGACAAATTAATTCTTAAAAATGCATATGAACAACCAAAACGCCAATTGTATATTATTTTTAAAAAAAATTCAGTAAATGTTCAAAAACATTTTCGTTTTGGCAAAGGTTGAAAATGAAAATCAGCGTAATATTATCGGAATTTATTATATATGTAACCGCAACTGTGAAAGAGCATGTCAGATATATTTGTATGAATTACCTGAAAAAAAAATAGACCGGAATTTGTTTGAATGTTGAGCACTCGAGAAACCTAGAAATAACTACGGACACGAGAATAAAACTCTAATAATATTTTATTTTAATGCGTGGTGGTAATAGATTAAATAACTAGATGGATTTCACAGGGTCTAACGACACTTGCAGTGTACGATAATTCAATAAACAAAGAAATCTAAGTAGGTACAAAATTTAGATAAATTTGGAACGAATACACTGAAGATGAATTTTTCGAGACAAAACGTCTGAATCTGGTTCGGGCTGAGGCAGTACAGTATTGGGGATCATGAAGGCTTGCAAAAAATGTAATAAAATTTCTAGGTCGTAAATTGATAACGGTCTTGAAGAAACGAAACGATACATATAAAAATTGATTATGCCATTTGATAGAGGGCAAAAAGTGTTCTACTTTTTTCAATATTACCTCAAACAAGGCTGAAATGAAACATAAACGGATTTCCAAAATTTCGTTTTCTTTTCAAATATTTCGAAAACTAATCATGTTAACTTTGATTTTTTGGAGGCATAATGTTGGTCCCCAGATTATGCAACATTGCCCCCATCTACAGTTTGTATCTCTTACCGTTTTCGAGATCCTTGTAGTGAGAAGCGAATTTGTAACAGCCTGTATAGCTTGAAAGGAAATTTCAATCTACATACGATATAGTAAAAAAATGCAAGGTGTTCCATTTAAGTTAACAAAGTTATAGCTATTTGAATTTACCAAAATTTAACAGCAAAAATTAAATACCTAGTATTAAATAATCGGTCGATAGCCGCACGGTTTAAGGCGTCAGTCCTTTAATCGTATGTAAATTTCTGCCCGGGTTCGATTCCCGCGGCCGGTAGACCGTAGATTAGTTATGCTTGTACGGAGGATTGGCATCCTCTGTGCAGGTATGGTAGGGTGGAAGAATGTTGGCTTGGATCAATGTGAGAGATTGACACCGGTTGGCATTTGACCACCCCGCTAATTAATGAGGTTTTCAAGGTTTCCCTCATTCATGCACTGAATGGTGGTTAGGGCCTACCAACATAAGTCGTTCCTGGGCGCAAATGCGGCCTGCCTAATAATAATATGCCGCCTNACGTTACATATAAAAATTGATTATGCCATTTGATAGAGGGCAAAAAGTGTTCTACTTTTTTCAATATTACCTCAAACAAGGCTGAAATGAAACATAAACGGATTTCCAAAATTTCGTTTTCTTTTCAAATATTTCGAAAACTAATCATGTTAACTTTGATTTTTTGGAGGCATAATGTTGGTCCCCAGATTATGCAACATTGCCCCCATCTACAGTTTGTATCTCTTACCGTTTTCGAGATCCTTGTAGTGAGAAGCGAATTTGTAACAGCCTGTATAGCTTGAAAGGAAATTTCAATCTACATACGATATAGTAAAAAAATGCAAGGTGTTCCATTTAAGTTAACAAAGTTATAGCTATTTGAATTTACCAAAATTTAACAGCAAAAATTAAATACCTAGTATTAAATAATCGGTCGATAGCCGCACGGTTTAAGGCGTCAGTCCTTTAATCGTATGTAAATTTCTGCCCGGGTTCGATTCCCGCGGCCGGTAGACCGTAGATTAGTTATGCTTGTACGGAGGATTGGCATCCTCTGTGCAGGTATGGTAGGGTGGAAGAATGTTGGCTTGGGTCAATGTGAGAGATTGACACCGGTTGGCATTTGACCACTCCCCTAATTAATGAGGATTTCCAGGTTTCCCTCATTCATGCACTGAATGGTGGTTAGGGCCTACCAACATAAGTCGTTCCTGGGCGCAAATGCGGCCTGCCTAATAATAATATGCCGCCTCCTCTCCCGCACAAGTCTCCGACTTATGGGCTAATTCTCGTAAT